AAAATATTGCACGCATTTTTTATTCCCCGATTCGAGCTAGGCCTATATTTCCAGTCCATACTAATGACTCAGTCGTGTCTTCGAAGGTTTGTGACACTTTGTCTGTAAAGTTACGGGACGATTCTCCTTGGACATGATCCACTTTCCAAATTGAACTTGTTCGGCACCTACAAAAAATAACGTATTCCTAAATTACACTATTGTCCTTTGCCTTTTATCCTGATCTGCGATAGTACGAGGTTTATCTGGCGAGTCCTACAGACTGCGTGTAGGTTGGGTTGACTTGATAAAGTCACTGTCCACGTGTTGGACGATCGAGGAACGTGCTCAGGGATGGGCAGAGATCTTTCTGTTGCTTAGAACCGACGTTCAGAGCGAGTCTGACCAACTTCTGTCTCCCATCTACGAGTTAGTTTATGGTGGATGCAAGTCGCGACGAGAAACTTTCCAGCAAAGTTTACAGCGAATTCGTTCCGGCATAAGTAGGAACGGACAACTGACCTCCCCATGGAGCCCCAGATGCCGACAGTGACAGTGAATTTCAAAACTCCAAACCCTCCGCGGCACCGAGACATTTAATAACATTGCATTGTTCTCCAGCTCATCTGGCACGTCATCTTGCTTTCGTATTAAAGAAATGTAATGCCAAATTCGTACTTTTGGCGCTAAGTACGTCAACAGATGCACGCAGCGTGTGACGTGCATTCGGGTTTTATCATTTAGGCGTTAAAGTACAAAAGAAACCCGCCCTGCAATTTATTGTGCGGTCCTGATAGTCTGCATCCAATACAACTGGTTTAATTGTCATAACAATAGTCTTAACTTTTCTTAAAATATTCCCCCATTAAATTTGTTAATAGGTACATATAATTAATTTCTTAGTCCCAAATATATCTGTATTATGCAAATTATCTCATGCCTAGCTCATCCTCCTCACTGGCACACATACTGATTAATGATATTATTATATTCGTTTGTGTATGTACAAGAAAGAAAAAATTATCCTGTCAAAATACATTAAAAAATTGTTTTGTTATTTCAGAATGTAAAAAAATATATATATATTCCTCTTGGCCGGATTTGAACCAGCGACCAATGGATTACCACGTAGACGAAACCAACACAGTCCACCGCTCTACCAACTGAGCTACCAGAGGGCGTTGGTTCTTACTGCTTTATCAGATGTCAATTCAAGAACATCAAGGTTAGATTCTAGTTATGTAATCGACACATCAGCTGCAATACGTGACTTGGTGAGAATATATCCCGATATTTGCTAGGAGGGACTAGGGAACACCACTAAAACCTCACAACATAGCCGAGATCTGAGCCCAGGACTTCAGAAATCTCTCCCGACTGTATGTAAAGTATGCAGCAAGACAAAAATTTTGTTGATCTGACAGCTGCTATGTTAACCATACACTTGTCGTAGCTTTATAAATTCCTTTGAATTTTTAAATTAGTCTTATGACGGAAATGATTCTGGATGATCAATTATAGGCGATCAGATCTTAAGCTGTTTAAAAAAAGTTACAGTGGAACCACGGTTCCGGAGAATTTGACGTAAATACGTCTCTGTATTTAAATTATATTTACGTCTCTCTAATGCAATGTAATGTAATGTAAAGTAAAGTAATGTTATCTTCAATGTCATCCATCTTGTTACGAAAGCGGATTGTTGACGGCAGTAATGTAACACAAAAATGCCGAGTAAACAGATGACGTTTCCTAGGTAACATAACAATGCACGCAAGCTGACCATTGTTGTCGGTCCATATTTACACATTATTGTGGAATTGTTGATACGGATCTTACACATTTTTCTGTCACTTTTTCGTTACACTTTTTTGCGGAATGACCCTTCCATTTAGACGTATTTACGTCAAAAAATAAATAAAGAAGCCCAAGACGAAGTTTTTGCAAAAATTAACAAAGACGGGTAGTGTTCAGTGCAAAGAGATGTAACATCATTTTAACAATGGGTTACAGGTGAAGAAACTTGAGGAATTCGTTTACTTCACGTTTAGAATTGTGATATATGCACTATATTATTACCCTTCATTTTGTTACGTAAAAAAGTAAAAAAAAAAAACATTACTCCTCCGGGCCGGATTTGAACCAGCGACCTATGGATGGCTCATAATTACAACCTACTACAGTCCACCGCTCTACCAACTGAGCTACCGGAGGATAACGCTTTCTGATTCCTCAGCTGTATTCATTCTCACCATAACGAGGCTAAATTACTTGTGTCATAGACATTTATGTTCACAACAACATGTGATGTCGAAGAGGGGATGCGGATTAATGGCTTGGCAGTTACCGAATTTCCTCCTAGATGCTGAGTATTAAAGTTACAATAAATAACTAATGTTGCATTTGAAAATGGCTGTCCTCTGGGTTGTTGCGCTGTTTAGTCTGGTAGAAGCTTAGACCTACAATGTACGTATTTTTTATCAGTAAACTTACTTACTCAGAAAATCATCCTAGACATCCCAAGAGACATTTATCGACGTTTCAGATGTGCTTGCTGCCTCCACAATCTGGGCAATGAGCACGAAATTAAATTCTGGTACCTCTACTTCTTCCACACTGATGCACGCCCGTAGCCTTGATTATTAAAATGGAGGTCTACGACATGAAAG